ATACTGAGCTCTTTAAGATAGAGTATACATTCTTGCCATCGTGAAGTTGGGTTGGTAATGGGAAGGTTAGCACTCACAGCTATACCAACACACGTAGTATCAGGGTAGGTGAACACCGACGGTACCTCTAATGATGTCAGAACTTTTGGAATCACTTTTAATGTTCCTGCAATTTAAAACAATGTCAATTTTGATTGTTTTATAAAAAATGATGAGAGATTTCTTGTACATGCTTCGCAACACTTATCTGAACAGGTGTGAAAACAATAGAGTTTGATGTCCTTGTTTCTGTTTTTACGTACTATGCTGGCCAACAGAGATAATTCTTGTACACATTTTACAGAGGAGAAATCACAAAAAAAAAGTTTTTGATTTGGTAGTGTGCTAAAAGTTTACCTCTAAGATGCTCAATGTCCAAATATCAAGATATCGTTTTTGCAGAAAATTATCAAGAAAAACCATACCTGGAGGATCATGATCACCATAGCGACGGTTGATAGGTCCTGTTGCTAGTATAGACTTCATATATCCAGGTGACATTCCTTCGCGATTCATAGAGGGTGTAGCTGACATATGACTCATAAAACTGGGATGAGAATCGGAAATAATGTGACTTAATCGCGATAAATTCTGGGCTTGAAGTTCGTAGAAGCTTGTATCGTCCCCAAATAGGGTATCGTTTGGATCGATGGGATTTTCACGGCAGGAACCCTTCACAGGAAATGGCATCTTAAATTCTCCCTTCTTTGGTGATTCTTGAGACAGATAGCGCTGAGCAAATTCAGTTGTTAACAACGATTTGTCAGTCAGCAGAGTTGGTTTGTCTTGTTGCTGTCGTGGTAACATGCCATGATGGAAGCTCTGTATTGGTGCTGGGTCAGTTGTAGGTGGCTTATCCCCCTTGTCTTGGACAGGTGGTGAGTAGTCATGGTCATGGCGATCCTGGATTCGCTCTTGCCAACCAACATTGGATTCTTGATTTGATTGGGCATCTCTATGGAATGGAGGATCGAATTGTTCCGATTGGTGTTCAAATTGGTGTCTAGGATCTGACTGCCTTTCATTTGGTATGTCCGCGATCCCCTGTCTTTGCCCGGATTTCAAAACATTGTAGCCCCTGGAGTCACTGAGATCAGTGTCGTCTGTTCCTACCACTAGATCACGAGACAACTCTTTATCAGGGCTGAAATAATTCGATCTAGAACTGTAGTCGCTTCCGTCAGGGATATGATGCTCAGATGCTCTCTTTGCTTGTGTTTGGATCGAATCTCTGTCAAGTTCCTGGGCAGCATTGTCATCAAAATCTTGTTCCATGTTAGTCCTTGTTTGATTCCTTTGTCTTGGATCATTTTGAAAAGTAGTCTCAAAATCAGGCCCTTGCCTTTGTCTGTTTGGCCTTGTTTGATTCCTTTGTCTAGCGTCATCCTGGACAATGGCATCATCAACAGGTCTTTCAATTTGTCTGTTTGGCCTTGTTTCTTGATTTCCGATTTGTCTTGGGTCATTGTGAACTGTGGTCTCTTCAAAAGTCACCCCTTCCCTAAGCCTAGAGTCAGAATTTCTTGGTTGTCTAATATCATCAGGAAAGTTAATATTTCTGCTTTGTCTGGCATCTGGAATTTGAGCTCTTCCCCTTGGTTGTTCTCCCATTGGCTGTTGAAGCTGACGAGTGTTATTTTGGGGAAGACTGCGGCGATCTGGTTCAGATCTTTGAGGCTGCTCATAAGATCTTCTAGATCTTGCTTTGATGTCTTCTTGAGCTTGCCTTGAAGAACCTGCATCTCTGGTATAAGGTCTGTCTATATTGTCATCCCTTTCTGGAACAGCACCCTCATTTATTGGTCTAGCTCTAAGCTCCTCCTTCATTGAGCCCTGACTGGATTTTCTCTGTTGTTGAATTCTGGACGGCAAACTGGGCTGTCTTTTATTGGCCTGTGATCCTTCATTAGAGACCCTTTCAGTAGAAGAACGCGATCTTTCCGTAGGTTGATGCACATCTTCAACTGGTCTGTCCATGGGTAAACTTTGGTCTCTGGATTGCTGATTTTGAAGATTCTGTTGCTCTGAGGAAAATCTTGCCTGATTCCTTTCAGAAGGCTGCTTTCTGCCAGGACCTTGTGCTCCAAGAGCTTGATTCCTTTCTTGCCTTTGAATAGCACTAGATGATAAAGACTTTTGTTCAATACTTGAGCTAGTTTGACCATGATCAAGAGATGGCTGATGTTGGGGAAGGAGGTATCTACCACCCATACTGGGCCGTGGAGATTTCCACTCAGAAGCAGACGGAGCATGGTTCCGGTCAGGTGATTTAAAACTGTGATCTGTGTGATAGCCAGTTTCACGGTCTGGATTGTTGAATTTTTCCCAGTCCTCATCTGTGTACGAATCAACCAAGCTTGACCTTGAAGCTCTGTTAACTCGACCTTGAGATGTGTCAAGGTCATTTTGCGGAGCAGATTTATTTAGGTTTGGAGAATCAGACATCTGTTGACTGACAGAGGGACTAGACGTGTCAATTGTCTTAGCACTCTTGTCCACATCTTTCAGAGATTCTCTTCTGACAGGAAGTCGTGATCTACGATCTTTGGGAACATCTTCAGGTTCAGCTTTCTGAGCTTCCTGATTCTGGTTCTGAAGTTCGTAAGCGAGCTTTTCAGCTTTGTCAGCATGCTTAGCCTGCGATTTAATCTTGGATAAAGCCATGATGGTGTTCACAAGTTCACTATTGTCTGATTGTGCAGAGATTTTGCTGATGAAACTGGAAATAGCACTAAGGGAAAGCAGACCACTCTGATCTTTGAACGACTGTTCCAGGTTCATTAAAGAATGAGTCAATGCAGATAAATCTGTGGAATTCTGTAAAGTGGACACGTCACTTTCAACAGCCTTAGATTCTTCATTTTGAGATTCTTCAATATTTTTCGTCTGACTTTTCTCATGCTCAGACGTTCTTGACATTGCTTGTTTATTCTGTGGAGTGCCAAGGTCACTCAAGGTGAAGGTCAGGTCACTGACAACTGAACCTGAAATGAAGAGAAGTAGTTGGATATATATATATATTTTTCTGGTTTTCTTAAACTAAATTTTGACTTAATTTCTGCCATGTTTCTCCATAATGTTACAATTGCATGATCTTACCACCAGGCGTTTCTCAGAAGTTATCAAAAGCTTTGTGATACAAAGTTTAAAAACTCATGAATTGGCAGAGCATTACAGAAACAGAGAAAAGTAGATTTCCTTTCTGCCAAATTATAAAACATATATTCGAGACAGACATGACTTTGCTCAATTACTGAAAGAAGAAAGAACTTACTGGTATCTTGGCAGAGACTTTGAGACTGATTACTGACATCCGTTAATGGTTGAGGCTTTTTAATCAAGGCTACTGGTTTTCTATCACTAGGTGGTGTTCGAATTGTCATACCAAAATTAGGCTAAAATAGTCAAAAAGAATAGAAATTGATGCTTTCTGTGTCCCTGATTTCCATAAAAAATTCAGAAAACCTCTTTACAATCCCTTTAACACAATCAGTCCTGCAATATAAGCATTCAATTTAAGAGAAGCTTAAATTCGTCCAATTAAATCTTTAGGCAAAAGAAAAGAAGTCCTTCCTTCAACATATAATACTTACCCTAGGCAAGTTAGGATTTCCTTCCAAAGTACCAAGGTTCTCTGTGCCTTGCGCCCAGTATTCACCCATAGATAATCGGTTGGCCTGGTCCCAAGGGTCATCAGATACTGTACATACACTCTGTGACATGACACTACGATACGCCCACTGGGCCTCCATATTTCCTGCCCCACATCCTGTCATATTGTCATGCTAAAAATATAAATTAATATTAAAATGAAAATGGAATTTTAAGTCCCACTTTTTGGCTCCAAATTGGGTTCCTGAAGAAGGGCAATGTAATGAAGGGATCAAATAGAGAAATTTTGGTCAGACAGTATCATTTATTTTCCAATTTTCAAGGACCTGTTAAGAGTGTGCTGAGCAATCAGATATTGTCAACTATAATAGACTGGATGTCTGGTGTATAACAGGTAGAAGCTACTTAGCTTTTTACGCTGGCAGAATTTCAAATTGTGAGCTTGGGTTTTTGAAAGTAGTTGTAATAAAAGGATACATACCTCACTAAATATATTTTCTTTATTGAACTCTTCTTCATCTTCATCAAACATCTTCACACAATCATCTAGAAAAAAGCCCCACAAATTTTACCTATATTTTTTTTGTTGCGTTGATCACAATTATTCAAAGTATTATACAGTGTACATCATCAAGTTTTGCAAACTCTTTACAAGAATGTTTTAGCAATTATCAGGTAAAGTGATTTACCTGCTGATTTGAAATCTGTATCATCAATCTGAAGATCAGGTGAATCAAACATCTCTCTCTGTTGTTCAGCCTCCTTGTTAAATGACGTATGGAGAGCTAGGTTAGTTTTAGGACAATTTACTGGTATTGCTGACTTCATCCCTGAAATTATAAATAATAACAGAAAACTCTCCTTAGATTATGAGAAGCCCTTAAAAATTCAGATTAATAGAATGAAAAACATAACATAACACATCAAATCAAAAATATAAACTCTGTGGACACTTCAAAAGAGTCAATAGTCAAATTAATTGCAGATGGACATTTAAAATATATCATACATAAACAAACCTTGTTTGCTACTTTGTGGAAGCGCAGCTGGTTTTTTAAAAGTCTGGCCAATAGGGGCTACAGGCTTGGTCATCTTGTCTTGTGATTGTCTCCCCTGTGATAGTCGTGGAATCGGTGTGTCTTTATAAGGCACAGACGTATTCCCTGATTGTCTTTTACTCTGGGGTTTATTACTTGGATTGGAAACTGGAGCCTGCAAATAGAGAAATTCAAAAGTTTCATGAATTATTGAAAGAATATTTTGATGAACATACACAATGTTTCAGAAATCGTTCAAAAATATCAATGAGAACAAAAGCAATCCCTGATTTGTCGTTGATTCCAAGAATATCATTTTTTAATTGTAAAATCAGATCTCAATACTCTAGAAAGAAAGATTATCAATGATTGACAAGAAAAATGAAACAAAATGAGACAAACCTGTGAGGAGGAAGATTCTGAAAGCCGTTTTTTCATCTGAGGAAGACTGCCAGATCGATGTAAAGAACTAGATCGTGGAACAGTTGGTTTCTTCCCAACACTATCAAGAGTTGATGTCGACATGGAAGTATGAAATTTGGAGGAAGCACTAACATTGGAATTCTTGGATGGTCTTTCAGCAGAATTTCTGGATTCCATCAGCGAAGTAGAATTTCTGGAAGACCTTTCTTTAGAAGATGGCGGCAAAATTTTTCCAGATTTCCGTAAACTAGAATCTCTGGAAGTATTAGCTTTAGCAGAAGTCACAGATTGAGTCGATGAAGTTCGCGATCGGACATCTTGACTCGTGGAATTTCTAGATTTCATATCACGCGTTTCAGAAGTCCTCGACTTCATATCAGAAGTTACATTTAGACTGCTGGAATTTCTTGATTTAGGGTCACGACTTTCGGACATTCTGGAAGTTTGAGATTTTCGATTAGGAATAGTAGCTGATTTCTCCATTGACGGTCTGTTACTTTTTGTTTCATTTGCTCGGACATCTCCTGCAGAAGAAAGTCTCTGGTCTGAGTTCCATAGATCTTCAGATTGAGTCGGCAGCGAATGTCCAAAATTCAAGTTAGAAGTTGGACCACTTGGAAATGGCTGTTCAGGAGAGGAATTTGGTTTCAAACCAAACGAACCAAATGATGAATTAAAATTACCGAATGGATCATCTCCCTGAAATAAGTAGATATTTATCTCAATGGCTAACGAGTCTTCAGTTAAATAGAATAAGGTCTCCAATCAATCAAAGATTACCTGATACAGCAGACAAATACATAGTCCTCATCAGAAAAGATAGAAAGAAATGAAGGTTTTAAATGCTGACATAAGGGGTGAGTGCTCTCCCTGAACAGGATTGAGAAATCAATGAGAATATTCCACAGTTGAAAGACTTATTATATTTGCATTTCCATCTTAAAGAGCTCAATTTCAGATAGAGTTCTGTCTTATCATTATCAGCTGATACCAGCTCAATTTCAGTTGCCTGTAACACTTTTCAGAACGAATATTTACCTGAGGAAAGTCTGCAGCATTGTAACCGAACGCTCCCATTCGATGATCTTTATGGAATCTACTAGAATCTTCTGTTCGGTCAGCTTGACCTTGTAAAATATCCTCCAAATGAAATGAACTAGCATCTAACGGAGCCATTGATTGGTTGTACGTAGTCATCTGTGATTGGTTAGTTTGCGCCAGAAATTTACTCTGTAGTAAGACATCATTTGATTGGTTGACTCTATCATTTCCCATCTGAAATAACAAAACAAAATATTTGTCCATAAAACAATTTCCAAGTTTCTAACCAATAAAAATAATTTTAGATATAATCCTTACCTTGTACCTAGAGCTCATGAAATATTGTTTTATATCCCCCTTGTTTTACTTTTTTAGGCTACTGAATTGAAATCAAAGCAACGTACAATTGAGGAATTGCCTTTATCATGTCAATCTTTCAGGTAAAATTCAGGTGACTGGGGCAAAGCAAGATAACAAATGTCCAAGACAACTAGACAAGGACAGGCATTGGACGTCAACTCCATTTTATTTTGGTGTAATAGTACTAATCCTGACCCAAAAGTTTATCATATGTAGAAATGGACAAAGTCATAATATCAAGTGTCATAAGGAAGAAAACCTACCTCAAAACTATCCTCAACAAGAAAAGATGGCGGAGTAGACTGTTGATGGTTGGTAGCCGTTAAAAATCGACTCATCTGAGTATCAGTTAATAAATCATTTCCCATTGGTCTCATTCTTTGTTCCTGTGACATATATTATATAACTATTAATAGAGTTTTTAAATGCCTGGTGCTAATTGATAATTCTGTGGCCCTCCCATCTAATTCATAGGGTCACACATAGGGTCATAGAAATTAATAATAATTTGAAGGGTTTATAAAGAGTTAAATAGTAAATGACATGCAGACATACCTCAGGAAATTCCTCATCAAAAGGACTGGAAAGTGATTGTTGACCAAATCTATGTGGTGCTGGTTTATTGGTAGGTTGTCTTGGCGACCCATCATCACTGAAAATACATTAACGATATTTTCATATAGGAACTCTCAATGGCTTATTTAACACTTTTCTGTGTCACATGAACGCTTATAGCCTCCTTTTGCACCACTTGCAACTGTGAAATCATCATGTTGTTTTTCAGGAATCACAAGAGAAATGGGAATGGTAAAGCTTCTGTAACAGGGTACGATTAACTCTACCTAGTAGACAGTAGACTGCGTCTGGAATCAGAACAAGATGAGCTTGAGTGTATCTTACCTTTCTCCGCTACTTCCGTCACCTAACCCGACCCCACCATCGCCACCTGGTGTACCAAGGTCAAGGTCACTGACTTCACCTTCACCCGACTGACGTTCGTAGCATTTTCCTTCTAAAACTATATAGAAAGGAATTTGAGTTTAACGTACAAGCAAAATCTGCCTCGTCCACCTGCATCATTGACTGAGGGAAAGGCATGCTTGGATCAATCCCCTGAAAGGGGCTAAACTTGATAAGCCGCCTGACTGTTTGGATTATAGCACTAAATGAGGTGGAAAATGAAATGAAATAGAGTTTTATGTCATACTTTTCTGCATTTGTTAAATTAATGAGGACAAACAACTCTAGCCAGTGTGAAATGAGGGAAATTTTGCAAGGACATCAGCATGCTGTCTCCTGTCAAGGAGACAGTCAACACCATGCAGTGTGCAATGAAGGAAATTTTGCGAGATAACCAGTATAACTGTTTGAAGTGGAGTAAAGAAACTAACCTGGTCTGTTATAATCTGTATGAGTATTATTAGAAGTAGGAGTATTATATGATGTATTATGTGTTGTATTATCAGTTGTATATGATTGTTGTTTATCACTCTCACTTCCTTCACCATCACAATATCTCAAATCAAACTCACTATCAACAACTGATACATCATCTAAAATATAATATGTCTTTTTCATAGTGGACTACTATCTAATAGAGTTTGTTTATTGTTTTCTAAACTTTTTATGTCTATCAGGGAAAATGATAGCATCGATTTGCACCATTCCAAATTACAGTCAGATGTCAGTGGTTCTTGCAGTTCCATTAAAGCTAAGTGTTATAACATAGCTATCACTAAAGCACTTAGATATTATAGGAAGCTTTTACAATAGTGACATCAGATATGGTTAACCATTTTTATAACTACAAGAACCACAGACATCTAAATGACCCTAAAACACATCATAAGTTGATAATTTTACAATCCATTAATGGATTTATCTTTAAGGTCTTACAAATATTAGAGAAATGAAAGTTATATGCTTTTTTCCAATCTAAAGTTGACCATAAAGGGATGATAAAACAAAGTCTATCTTACCAGTATATTGTGAGGTATCTGTTTGATCTAATACAGTATGAGATTTATTATAAACTACTGGACTCTCTTGAAAATATTTATCATCTAAACACCAACCTGTAGACAGACATAAAGAGGAAACTTGTAACAACTATTAATCAGAAAATCATCTAAAGAATTACAAAACTTTAACTTAAAACGAATATTTTTTAAATTATTTAAAATTAATAAATTAAGTGCTTACTTTCTTCCCCTACTGCACCTTGTCGGTCATCTTGAATTTCATTACCATGGTAACTACGATATTCACTATTATCACCCAATTTATCATCATCAGTTAATGTCCTTTGACCTTTCAACTCTTGACCTCCAAAATCTTCATCATCATCAGTTGAAATGACCTCTTCAAGATCACTGAAATCTTCATCAAGAAGTTGAAGTTCGTCTGCTCCGAATTGAACTTCGTGGACACTGGCATCCATTTCACATCCTTCTGACACTTCTCCCAACAAACCACCTCCAAATAAGGACATGGCCACCGCCCCAGGTTTGTTCACTTCACAGACGTCCCGTTCTGGTCTCTTTTTGACCGTGTCAACAATATGGCTACTACCTATAGCATGATTTTTGGAATCTTGTTTGGAAGAATGATCTCTCCAATCGTTAGAGTCTGTTGTTGATTGGCCAGTTAATGATGGTTGCTGATTGGATGGCGTGAATCGGTTACCAAATGAAGACTGCTGATTGGACATATAGCTTCTCGGTTCTGGTGTTGGTTTCAATCTGGACATATTTGGCATTAATAAAGCACTGGAAGACAAATCTACAAGAGAAAAGAATTTTTATCAGAATTGCTTCTTTTCAGCTTGCAATTACATTGTTAATCAATTTTTCAAGATACTGAAATGAACAAGAACAAAAGCAATAATCTTATCTGAAAAATGTCTGATTTGGGACTAGAATCTTGTCTATAATGACAATCATTGATGTTTTATCCCTTATTATGGGGTGATTTATGCTATATAGGGCTGCAGTGTTGTTAATAATTTAAAGCACATACACAATAAATGAATCTTGAGCCAAATAGTGCAAGTTTACTCTAACAATGTTACAACTGTTTAACAAAGATTAAAAATATGCATGTGAGGGAAATTCAAATTATAAACTGTTATTCATCAAAACACATGCACATTAAATTGTGTAGGCAAGGAATATTTTTAAAACTGTATATTATGTTAACAAATGCATTAGTGAATGCATGAAGGAAGTTACAATGCATTGAATGAATGAATGAATGAATGAAAAAAAAAAGATAATAGGTTAAGTAATTGACCATTGCAATGAATGAATGAATAACTGAATGAATGAATGAATGAAAAATGCACTTTAACTTAGAAGAAGAACTATTTTCACTTACCACCCAACATCAAATTATCATCTGGAAAATTACAATTAGTTTCGAAAATATAAGTCAACTATTATCATCAAGTTATGCTTCTCTTTAGTACCAAGAGATCAAATATTCAAATTTTAAATTTCTTTTAACAGAAGATCAGAGCAATTTACTTCCTTTTAATAGAAGAACAAGAAAATAACCTACCATTCATAACATCAGCCGGAATTAAACCTAGAGAAGATCTAGCACTAACATCATTACACCCCATCTCCTCATTTCTATAATAAACATAAACAAAGTTTTATCATTTGTACAAAAAAATCATTCTAATTTTATATCAAATAAGCAAGAAAGACATAATGTTACATGATGCTAAAATTCAAAATTGCTCAAAATTAAACACTTTCCATGACTGGCATTACATTCAGACAGTACCTCAAGGCTTGGTTCAGAAGTCTAAATTAACAAATTAGTTTGTTCTTTTTCCTATTCTGATCCTGATAAAAAAAGAGCAAAGAGTGCAATTTTGCGAAGACAGAGGCTTTAAAAAAAAAATACATTCTTTTGCAAAATCTGGCGATAGGTATTCAACATAAAAAGTACAGAATTTGCAGGAATAAAAGAAAATAAAAAACACTAACTTAGTATCAGATTTATCATCAGAACCATTTAAAGAAAACTTCAGGAGTTCTAATTCTCTTGGAGAAGGGTTATTTGATGGCACAGTATTTATAAACGAACATCTAGGATCAGCTAATGTCAATTCTTTTTGCCTGAAATAGTGAAATAGAAAGGTTAAAATATCTATCTTTGTGCTTAAATAAAGCCTGATTCATATCATATTTTGTGTATAGTGATCTAAACTTGACATAGATTCTTTATTTTCTACAATCTTCATTTAATTTGAGACCAAAAGCTGATTTCTTGAAGATTGTATATGTGGTTAAATTCCTCTTTAATAAAGAATTTCAACATTCAAAGTAACCTATATCTAACAGTAACAAAATAGAACTAACTTCAAAGCATCTCTAGCTACTGTAGAAGCAGCCAGTGGTCGTGGAGTGGTGCACACTGACTGCTCATCTATAGATTGGCGTAATCCATTCTCCGTCACGAACGACAGATCATCCATCATTGCTGGAGAAAGTCTCGACTCCATTATTATTGCTTGTTATTAAACCATTGACATTATCTGAAAATAATACTCATCTGTTTAAAGACCATATAAAATATAAAACTTGGATAACTTGGATCTCCAGAGACAAAAAAAGGGCAAATATTTTAATTAAATAGATTTAGATCTGTATTATTAAGCTTAGTAAAGTATGTATATTATTGCTCATTGACATTAGCTTACTATCTATAACATAACTTGGCTTGGGTAAACTTGTAAATTTGTAAATTTTAGGGCACTTTGTTGTCAAGTATGTAGACGTAGATCTACTGAACTAACGTTTTATTAACAGAGTACAGTTAGACTGTGCACTAGGCAACTTTGCAACAAAGGTGATATAATGTAACCCGGGTCCCATTTAAGTATGATAGAGGGGTCAAGGGAGCAATCCCAATTCCACACCCTGATGGTAGTATGTAGTATGTGAGGACAGTACCAATACTAAGAACTTAAGTTTTATAAACAAATGTCAAAATCAAAACAAAAGAAATTTAGCAATGATTTTTAGCTGATCCACTTTGGGTTGATCAATTATATTAATTTTAACGTTCTTAAAATTATGCTGATATTACCAAGTTTAAGTCCGGAATATCATGAAATCTTTTAGAAACAATCTCTGTTTAAATTATTGAAATATTATTTAGATTTTCAGAATAACCTTTCAAAATTCCGCCATTTTGGTATTAAATTTCCAAAAAGAGGCAGGGCTTGTGAAAAAAGCTTCTGATTGGCTAGAACGACTTTTAAAAAAGTTGGATAAATAAAAACCGTAGCGAAGTACGTTTTAAAATTATTTACAAAGCAAATGGTCAATTTAAAATTATACACTTTAATTTTGGATTGATTTTTATATTATGATTTGGTTATATTCCAAATTTTTACTCTTTCCTTATATAAATTCAAAATTTCGCTTTGAAAATAAAATACACCCACTTTTTAGACAGCCACTCTACTTTCGATTGCAATAAATCCTTGACATTTCAATTTCTATTTCAAAAATGCAGATTACGGTAGATTAAGGAATTGATAACAATTTAGGTCATTACGATAATCGGTATTAGATCACAAGTAACAGATGTAAGTAAAGATCAGAAAATGACTCGCTTAATTATGAGCAATAAGCTTTCGAGTGACAGATTGAATGGGATAAGAAAGGGGGGTGGGGGAGGGGAATGCAGTGGCATGGATGGGAGGCAGTGCTGGGGTTACTAAGGGATAATCCCAAATTTTTATTATATTGTCAACCAATCTAAAGGTGATTCTGTCTTATATTCTATTGAAAATGAGCAAGTTTTTGTGAAATTGCTCACTTTCATGCTTGTTAAGGCTGACAAGATCCTTCAACTACTTAATACTGCAATTTATAAGGATACATTGCCCCTTATCTATTTATAGAAGATGGATTGGAAGTTATGTATAGTTGGTGTGGTAGCACTGTGTAGTCAGCTAACTCTAATACAAGCCAGATTAGATATTCCTGTCTTTATTACCAATGGTTCTTATTATGAAGTTGGGTTTAGTGTTGTGAGTATTTGATTCAAATTAAGTATTTCTTTAAAGATGGGTTCCCTTATTTTCATTGATGAAAATGAAAATGCTAATACTTATATGAATAGGAAGAAGAGGTGTACTAATGACTTGGAAAAATACCAGTCTGTCTCACTTGTCCATAATTAATTCATAATTAGGTAAATTTGAAAAGAATTACTTCATTGTAAATGAGAGACCGATCAAGAAAGGTCAAAAGTCTTTGTTTATCCAGACTGTCGTACATAGACATTTAAGAAAAAGAACATAATGATATGATTAAGAATACATGATCATTTTTTGGAAACCAATTAATCAAATAAGGATGAAAATCAAATAAGTAAACCCATCTTTAAGTAAAACATTTTAAAATCACAGGAACAACAGACATATGACTTGACTTAACAAAAAAGTCCGGAGGCAAAATACCAAATGAGTTTTAGTTCAAGATCCCTGATTGTCTTAGATATTTATTTAATTTTTTTTGTGTAAAATTCTGTTATTAACCATAAATATTTTGAAATGAATTTTTTATTTCAGGGAAAACATTTTAAAACAAACATTCAAGACTTCTATTCCCTACAAAAACTGATAGAGACCAAATATTTACCATTTGTTCGAAGTGAAGCTGGACAAAAGGTAGGGTGTTTACATTGCAAGAGTTGTTGCCCTTGAAGTCATGCTGTCTCAGACCAACAGCTTGCTATGAAAAATATTAGAATTTTTAGCGACTGCCACTGTCTTGAGATTATGTTGCTGAATCTTCATTCTTTAAGGTTTATTACCTCTTAGAATGAAAAATAAAATCTATATATTCATCAGTGGATTTACTAACTATACAACAGAATCCCTTATAATCAGGTAAATCCATAAAAGTTTTATAATATCAAAGTTCTAAATATTTTCTATCATTCCAGATTTTTGCAGGCTATCTTTCAACAGTCCGTAAATCTTACCCTCAATATTTAGAAGAATTGATAGGAATTTCTGGTGGAGCTGAGATTCCATTTATAAAGGTTTGTTAACTTAATTCCACTCTAATAACTGATAATAGGGTTTGTGAAATCAATTTGTTAATATTATTTTCTATTTTGAATGAAAGGCCAAGGATCTGTTTTGAAATCTTCCTATTTTCAACTTTTTAGATTCAATATTAATGAGTTTGTACCCATTTTGCAATTTGAGCTTCAAGGGGCTAGGTGGCACCCTGACTTACTGAATTACTGCCCCATAACTTAAACTAATTTACTGCCCTGTTCATTGCTACTTTTCAGATATTTTCTATGGCTATACATAATGAACTGAACGCTCATATTGATGGAGTGTGGAAAACCGAACATTGTACTGATGTTCATGTTAATAACCAAAATCAGGTAATATTCAGTTCACTTAATTCAGGCTGAAGTTGTGTAAGAAGGTCTTTCTTTGAGCTTCCTTTACTCAGTTATCACCATTTTTATCCACCTGTCTTTATTTACAAATGAAGCATGTGCTCACAGCTTAAGATGAGCTCTTGTCAATTACAAATAAACTTAACATTTTCTTGGAAAATCTGTTTCTATTCTATTCTTCAAATAATTGATTGTGGAATTGTATCAAATAACTAGATTGCAAGGTTATTGCCCATTATTGTGTTCTGTTTTTTTAGAAGTGTTTTTCTGATTTATTTACAGGTTGCTATAGGTCATAATGAAGATGCAGACCCACTTATAAAATCTAGAGGGTATTTTGTCAATGCTACGATTATTGAAGGAGGAAAAATTCAAGAACAATTTACAGCATACACATATCCTGGTAGGGTTTTAATTGAAATTTACAAATAAATATTACAATAATTTTGATAGGTTGACAAGCAAATAGTTCTTTTTTTCTCACTACTCTTTACTCTTCAAATCAGAATTGAACTCAATCACAAATGCATATTTACTATTGATATGATAAGTGTCTTTGGAAGAGTTATTTTTACAAAAAAGGATTATTTTCTGTCATATCCTACCACAAGGCAATTTAATGAACTGAAATTATGAAAAGAATGGTGTGTATATTTTAGGTAATCTACCAGGCAATGCGTTTAGTTTTAATAGTGCTGGTTTAGTTTTTACGTTAAATGGTCTTTACCCAAAGTATGTTGGAGATATGAAAATACGTAAGTTTTGAGACTAATAATTATTATAGCAAGACTTAAGGGTCTTTAATTTTTTCATTTATTTTTTTGTCAATTAATAGATTATCCCATGGGCTGAATGTTAAACAGGACCATGTCCTTGGTGTTTTTTTTACCTAATTCTTTCTCAAGATTTGATTTTAGTTTAATATTTGTGAAACAAGCCCCAGATCCGTTCTATTGATGAATTTATTATCCAAACGGTTTAGAACAGTATGTTTCATTTTTTAGCTAGGAACTTTGTCAATAGAGCATTATTAGCCCAGACAACACAAGATGGTGTGGAGAAAGTTCTATTGAGTGATGGAATTGGGAATGCTTATGCTTTCAGGTAACTTAAATAGTTTCTCAAATACATGGACAATTTTTGACAAGAATAAATAAAATCAGCCTGTATAATATCAAATGTCGAAAGCTTTTTTCAGTTTAAATATTTTCATTATTTCCTTAATTGCTTTTGATGGGCAACCTTTTTTACCCTAGGGGATACTTACGAAATATGAACACTACAGCAAGTACCCAAGAAGTCTTGCAGACAATACCGAAGCAGTATTTGTTGTTTTGGTTGTGGTTCTAATCTCAGCAAGCTTCATTTGGCTCTTTTGCAATTCTTGTTTAGTTTGAATTTTGCTGATACATCTAAGAAGACAACCTTTAACTATGAAGTTAGTCCAGTCAATAAAAGTACATCATTAGTTAGTAAAATTATTATAAATAGTAAAACTACACCTGTACATGATACTACTGGTTATTACTACCATTTTAACAAGTAAGTCCTCCACTTTATACCACCTGTACATGATACTACTGGTTATCACTACCATTTTAACAAGTAAGTCCTCCACTTTATACCACCTGTACATGATACTACTGGTTATCACTACCATTTTAACAAGTAAGTCCTCCACTTTATACCACCTGTACATGATACTACTGGTTATCACTACCATTTTAACAAGTAAGTCCTCCACTTTATACCACCTGTACATTTGAGGTTTCATCTCTGTAGAGAATATATATCCCAAAATCTTATGCCATGGATTTTTTATCTCTTTGTCTCCAATGTCTTCTGTGACAGGACTTTTTTATTACCTCTTTGACCCCTCACATTTATTTTAAAAACTCAAGGGCAGTCTAGCAGACAACCAGATGTTGTGCGCCTTGAGAAATTCCACAAGGATTTAATTGCTGCGCAATATAAATATCTTCATTATTATTATTATTATTATTTTTAAAAATTAATCAATAAAGATGTTAGACATCAAGATGTTAAGCTCATGATTTTACTGATCAGGACAACTTTTTTTCAGATTTGAGCATGCAGACACTGTTAATATCCCACAGTTTCCTAAAAATATTGTCAGTTCCATTCACCGTCAGAAACGAACTAAACAACTTCCAATACCTACAGATATTACTGGTATTAAAAATATACTGGGGGACACCGGGGATTCCCTCTATCCTATTTATAGAACACCACGACCTTCAGATGACACCTCAACAGTTGCTACAGGTAAAGGGTTTTCATATTTGTATCAATCAATTCAAGGAAATATGTCACAAATTTAATTTCAAAGCAACAGACAAATTTGATGCAGTTATTGATGACTCAAAGGATAGTTCTGATCCTAAAAAATAAACCAAATACTAAAAAAACCCAAAATCAAAACAACATATTGGTGAAAATTGATAGCTAACAATGATAATGCTTATTGTTGCCTTGTTGAAAGAGCTAGGTCTATCAAGAATCTAACTTACGTAATTATATTGACTTTGACGTGTATCCGATGTGTCTATTCTTCTCTATTTCAGCAATATTTGATATTACAAGATGTAAAGTGAATGTTTATACAGATAATCCAAAAACTAGTAGTGGTCCAGTTTTAAAATTCACTTTACCAAAATGTTAAACTTTGCTTTACCCAAATGTGTAAAATTCACATTTTCATATTTTGATTATTTTTAATGTGAACTTAATGAAAAGTATTTTGTGTTCGTTTGATGTTTTCGTTGTTAAATGACATAGAAGGACATGTTTAATTTTAAACGGTTAAATTTTTATTGTTGATTTTTATTGTTGATAATTTTAGGTACAATTTTTTTGAAGAATTGGATATTCATTTGAAATTATTTTAATTGAAGATTTTTGTAATTTTAAAAAAGTATTAAAGATGTTATATTTTTTTAGATGATTTTTGTTGAAATGTTATATCACTCTTGTTATGTTTAAGATTTTACGGATTGTTTTTCAATAAAATTAAATTTTTTCTACTGACTTTTATTTTTTAAAGCTTTGACAGAAATAAGTGGTTTGATTTCCTAGTATTTACTACTCTTGGCATAATATCTTACTGTCCTGATGAAGATTTTGTATCCTAAACTCTGTCTGGTAAGTTTAGATTGTCAATATAGTAGGCGTCTCTAGTAGAAAAAAGGCGTGTCCTTATGTCAAGTAATGAATTAGATTCAAAACGGTGCGACTTATTTGATTAATTGAAAAGGCGTTAGTATTGTTTAATGAGTTGTCCACATACAATTCAATACTTTACAAAATATTTCCAAAAGAAAATGACACAATATGAAACTTTGTAATGTTATGGAAACTAATATTGCACAAATTTTTCACCTCTGCCGACCTGAATTATTGACGAGAACCAGAATTACCTCCCTTGCACAGCTCTTCTCAAAATGGCGGATGTTTTGAAACATGTTCAGACAGAAATTATTTGATTAATGTTTGAGAAGTTCTGTCAACGATCTGAATCATCTATGATGTCAGAAAAGAAAGGCTGAAACCTGCAGATTCCAAAATGGCGCAAAATACACTCAGACAAGATGTCGATTTTCAAGGATTATTCAGAAAGCTTGGTATGTTTACATTTTTCAAATCTGTCAAACTAAAAAAATTGTAATAAGCCATCCATCAGGTCAGGCAATTATAAATAAAAGGAGGGGAAGGGAGAGTTCATTGCTGTGTGTGAGATCGCAACCTTGATTTTTTGATCAGTTGGATTAGTTGTCCACTTTGATTTAACCTTAGAGCACTTTTTTCTTATTTAAAACTCCATTCATACGGAAGGATAAGCTGAATAATTTGAATTAAATGGTTGCTGACTTCATGGCAGGTTTCGGATCATGCTTATACTGTTGAAGACCCCAGTCCATTTTTTTGGATGTGACGGGTCCTTTTCATCACTAGATTATCCATTGATACATACCTCCTTTCTCAATATTTCAGGCCATAATCTAGAAGAGATCAGAGTTCGAGCTTTAGAAAATATTTTATCAAAATTAAAACACAATCTGATCTGTGAAGCTGATTTGATCCATGAAAGACATCTTTTTATACGTCTGCTGGAATGGTTTAATTTCCCAAAATCAACACAACATGAAACTGTTTTGAATTTAATTAGAGATTTATCTCAGGTTAGTGTTTGGTGTTATAGAAGATATTCTCCTATAGAAGAACTGGCCAAGGTTACAAGAAGAGAACATACTTCTTTTACATCAATTATCAATTTGAGTAATAAAGATTAGATTGAAATGGTACAATAAATGTTCTGTGCTGTGTGCAAGGAGAATTTTTCAACAATGTAAATTCTGTAAAGACTGAAATAATACAATGCTAACAAATAATCAAAAAAATGTTAAAAACATATAATGCAACTAATGAATTTACTCATAGTTTACATCATTTAAACTGATGTTCAGTTGAGCATATCAATAGTTAACTGCAGCAGATTTATAGATTTAGTTATCATTTTAAGATCTTGACTTATTTGCTTGTAATTTTTTAAAAAAAATGATCCATACAATTCAGATTTAACTCTTCTTTTAGATTTTGACATAGATATTTCAAAATATGCATTTTAAATTCAAGCTTATATTAATTTCAGCACACATCAGCTATAGAGATCCTACAAGGTATAGGTGGTGTAGAGTTTTTATCTCAGTTACGGTCTAATATCACACTCAGTCTTCAGCCTATTATAGATCAGATACTAGAGAATATTCTACGTCTACCTACAGCCTCAACTAATCAACACGCTCCAGAATGTATTTATCATAGACCTGCTACTGACAGTGCTAATGGTAAGGATTTAATTTAGATCATAATGAAATTGAAAGAGTCTATTTGTTGCTTGATGAAGTTTAAAGTATTGCTGTCTAAGGGTACATAGTATAAAGTGAAATTTGTCATTCTTAGACGTGTAAATTATTATGACATTCTTAATCTTAGTGTCCAGTTGCAAATCTATAAGTATATTTCATTTCATGAGGAAAAGGCAAAATTACATTCAACATAATGCATTTGATGCAGAACAATAGGCCATTAATGTAGGACTGAAAATTTGAATTTAACCCTACAAGCTTGAGAACATCAAAATTTCCGTAAGCCATGATTATTACAGACGAGTTGAGACTGAAGGATGTCAATTTATTTATCATGTATTTCAGTGACCCAGCAATCTGTCCAATCAAGCTGTACTAGTCACAGTAATCGTAGTACACCTACTAATATCACTCAACAAACAGTAGGTAAGTCAGTTGATTAACCTCATGTATTTCTTTCTTTGTCTAATAGTACAATGAAGATTAACTAAAATACATCAAATGTCAAAATTTGTCTTGTGCCCTAGATAAAGTTACATAGCACTTGACACTGTGTTGAAATTTGTCAACTCTTTGAATTATATTTTTAGTTGTAAACACAGACAAGATAGATGTATTAGAAGAACCTCAACCAAGATATTTTACTAATGGAGATCCCCTGGACATAGGCAATGGTAAAATACTGTTTTATATTGCTTTATTTATGCAATATGACTTACTGGCTAGGAACTTACTGCTATTTCAATGGACACATTTTTTTATTCTTAAATCTGTCTCATTAAAGATATAAAATCTGAAAATTTGTAAACTGGAGTTGTATATAGGAATTTGGTCTATATGTGCTATTCTTTATGATTTACTTTGCTGTTTAGCTCCTCCCACTGGATTCCGTTTGACAGCATTTCCATGGTTACCATTAACGCCAACAGACAGACATGTTTTGGAATCGACCAATAAATCTTTACAAAGTCGAGATGCCAAGATGTTGGCGAGTTCCTGTGAATTTCTGAGTGATGTCGTGTTTCAGGATTTTCCCTCGGAAATATTTCTCCAAAGGCCACAAGTTGTCAAAGTATGTTTGTTTTTTTGTTTGTTTGATCCCAAGAAATCTTTGAAATCTTTTTTTTCACTCGTGTTATGCATAGTGCATATTAAAATCTTTAAATTTGACCAAGTTCTTATCCTTTTGGTAACAATTGCTTCATCTTGAGGAGGGGCACCTTTTAGTCTAGCAGACGCCAACCCAACTCACTACCATCTCTGCTATCAATAAGAAGAATGCTTCTAGGAATGGCTCCATGTTGGCTTTCAACTAGATTGCCAGATAGACTATGTATCTATTCAGCATTCATTTGATTATTTCAGAGCTTATGGTCGTTGCTTCAACCCAGTAAAGATAAGAAATATGATCTATCTACCCAAGCTGCTGAAACTTTGTGTGATTTATCACGATGTCTACGATCACGAATCCAGTTTTATCACGACCCTGCTTTATATACTCCTAAACAAGGTATAGTTTATAGTGAGTCCACATGACCATTATTGTCTCTTTGGTATTTATTATCTTTAGCCTTTCCAGATTTTCTGTGCTGATGTATATTCATTGTATTAGGCATTATGGGAGAGTCTCTCATATAAAAACACTGGCTAAGGTCACAAGTAAAGACTAAATATTTATTTGTATGATTCTATTTAATATTTTAATTGTAGACTTTCTGTTCCCCTCTCCGCCATCATTTTCTACTGGAGTTAGTGGTGGTAGTTCGGCAGGTTTGTCGTCTGATGTAAGAAGTGATCTGATTGGTTGGAACGATACCAGACAGCGTGGTGATGGCCATGATGGGGATACATCTTCTAGCAGGTAAATACCTTGGGTATTTTAGGGGAGAGGGCTCATAGGAGGAGGAGTTGGAGGGTAGGGGGAGCTTGGGGGCTGAGAGTTTATGACAGAAAGCCTTGGATTTTGCTATTTTTTCAATAATTATTGCATTATTCATTTTTGTCTTTATAACCTTTATGAGAACAGATTTTTTCTGCTGCTTTTTTGTTTTGGGGTGACAACCATGGCTATTTTCCTCAGGTTTATTTAATTGTTGATTATATATTTTCAGATCTTCAACAAGTCTAGGATTCGATGGTGAGAGATCACGAGAAGAAACAGATCAGAATGAACGACAGTCGTTACAATATCATCAACTATATTTACCTCAGTATTGTCTTAACACCATGATTAAATCTCTACCATTACTACAGACCACAGACGTTACAAAGGCTGTTAAAGTTTTAAATCTCTTACATCAAGTTCTGAATATATTTACTGAAATATTAGGTGATATTTGGTCTGATGACAGCCAAATGACTCGAGATACAGTATGTATTAATTTTCTAAATGATCATTTTTTCCACATATTGAAAGATTTTGTTGATTTTTCTGATAATAATGACTGGGAACTGGAATCAAGTTGACAGAAGAATAGGCTGTGGAATTCAAAAACATTTTCTCTTCCAACTACCTACATATATAAATGATAGCTTTCGAATTGAGTTATGTCCACATTTCCCTCAAACACTATGCTTGAATACTGGAAAAGAAATATTTTCTTTTATTTTTCCAGACAGAGAAATTTGAAGAATGTTTGTTGAATGTAGCTATATTATTAGAGTTCCACTACCCTGATGTTAATGGTAATAATACTAAACATACTGTAACAGTACATAGACTGATATATATTGGTATCTCTCATTTACTTGTCAAAATGGTGGTCCTAATACCTAGAAATAAGGTAGGTTTATAAAAAGATGGTATAAACTTGGGGTATTTTGAGATAACATGCAGGGAAAGCATTGCAGTGTACAATTAAGGACAGCGGCTTTTCTAGTATAAATACTGTTGTAGGATCTTTAACGTACACAGTCTGTAACACACTGATCTTAGTTTTATTATTCCATCTGAACTACTAGTTACTTTCCCTATGTTAGGTTATAATATCGCTAACGGAAAAATCCTGGTAGAAAAATCTGATTGTATGTCTCAACCAAAGCCGGGTTCAATCCCTTAACCTTCTGCTTAACGAGCAAGCTTCTAACTCACTGAGTCACCTGGTTTTTGTAGTATTAACATAAACATGCAAATACTATCTTCATTTTTCAGTGTTGCAGTATAGTACCAGAGAGACTGAAGGCTTGGATTGGAGCTGTGATTTTTGACGAGAGTTTAGCTGATAGTTATAGGTACATACGGACTACTTTACTACCGTATCTACAGGAAGTTGATACACAGAACTATCACAAATATCACTCCGCCTCTAGAATCTGTCACTCCATGCAGCAGACATGTCAGTTTGTACAGGCTGTTAAAAATGGGGTAAGATACTTTTTCATTAATTGTTAATTTACATGACCACTATTTTGGAGGTATTTGTGTAAATTTGTGTTTGGTTGAATTGTAGGCTAACCTTGTGTAGGATTTCAAAGTTGAAAAGTGATACAGATAGCTGAAATAGAGTTCTATTATTTTTGGTATATAAATATTAAGATGAGTTGATCCCTTTAATACCACTACAACCTGATATTTTATTTCTTTCAAATGGTGTGCTATATTTTAGCAATTGTTTTAAGGAAACATTAAATTATTTGTAATTGGGATTGAATTAATTATTTCACCATTGTTCATCTTGAATTTATTGAATAATTTTCTAGGGTCATGTAGCTGCTGATATTATCACCATGGCAACAGAATCTATCCCTAGTCTCCCGTATCACCAGTATTTACCAATGATTACAGATCTAATACAGTTTACAGCCAATCATATGTAAGTTGTATTGATTGGTAAAGAAGTGGGGGTCGGGTAAGATTCTGGCTGTGTCAAACTAAGACTTATGGTTCAATGACCTCAACCTCGTCAGCCACCACAGATGTAGAATGATATGGAATCTTGGGTATTGAAGCTGGAAATAGCCTCAATTCACATTTTATCAAATAAATAAAAGAGAATATGTCTATATTACTACTTTCCCTTATGATTTTTTAATGTTCTGTTTTTTTTAGAGGAAACAGAATGCAACCTGATAATAGTTTAATGACAGTCTCGAGAAAGATAATATTAAAATTACTGGCTCATCCTTTAGACAGTGTTAAACTGTTTACATATAAAACAATACTTAATCTTATACAGGTTTGATAACAATTTTATCTTTATTTTCACTTGATTAGTTTATGAGATATCATCGTTAGAGAGATGAGAGCTTTCCTCATTATTCCAGTGATTACAGCTATAAATGTGTACAGATAATCTCTGAAAGATCAATGCAAGAAGTTTCTTAATTGACATCATTGTAACTTCAGTTTTAATGCAATTAATATACTCTATATTATAGTCAGTATTAAATGTAAAAGAAGCTGCCACCCCCCTATCAAGATCCTGTCTACAAGCCCAGTTTATACTAGACCCTGACATTCTCTATCAACTGGTTGTGTTTGGTTTGAATGATTCTCATAAACAGGTAAAATTTGTAACTTTTTAATGTGTATCGTGCAGTTATGGATTCTATTTCCATCATTCCAATTTTCAGCCGCATGTCTGTGGTTCCTGTCATATAGAAATAACGGCACTGACCTAAAAACTGCTAATAGTTTGTACAGAACTTTACAATAGCTATGTCATAAATGCTAAGTTGATCTCCAGGGAAATTAAAAAAGATTGGAACTTTATTTTTAGATATCTAACCACGCCAACACCCTACTATATCACCTATTAAACAGTAGATATACCATGAATGAAGAGATGTGGTCCTGTTTGATTCAATCATTATACAGATCGTTCCCTGTACTACAGGTAGGTGCTCTGATTTACTATACTTATTCTATACTAGAACAAAATAGGTGATGAAATTAGGATATAAAACTCCGTTTGAATTTGTTTGCCAAAATTCTTGCAGAAAAGTAGGACTTTCCTGACTGTGTCCGAGTAGCTGTGTTGCTTAGCAAAATAGCTTTTTGTGCACTAAACCTAGAGTACATAGCGCTAGTTAACCAAGTCTATGCTGTTGACTTTTTTCTTCCAGTCCTTTTGAGATATTATAATAATGATGTTTGAATTTGAGTGCTCATATTTACGTATTTATACTTGTTAGTTGTAATGTTTAACTAGTTAACCATGTCTATATTGTGATTTATTTTTATCTTCCAGTCATATTGTGATATGTCAAGTAAACTGGGCCAGAAGATCTGGACTATATTAGATCCTAGATCATCCAGTGAATTAATATCGTTACAAGATAAATTACGTGGCTGCCTTCGTCTTCTCTTCTCTCATGATTTACAGTAAGTAATGGTCTTCTGAATATTTTATACTGGAGCAAAGTCACTCAAAAAAAAAACAGTTCTGGAGCTTATCATAGTGTTTAATGGTAACTGTCACATGATAATGTTATCTGTAGTTGTCTGATTCGTTGATGCCTTACATAAAACATCAATGACTATGTTTCTAGTTTCTCATAGAGCAATCTTCATTGTGTTTTCACATTACCCTTATCGATTACTCATTGTGTTGATTGCTTTTGGAATCTGTTCATATTTCATGTTATGATTTTGTTTTATAGAGTTCGTACTAGAGTATTGGAAAGACTTTCTTGGTTTCTAACCAATGAAACAGACAGTACCAATAAGATACCAGTCTTCTCTGAACTGGATGTTAAAGACTTGTGTGATGTTTTGATTGTCAAGACACCTAGAAATATAGAAGAAAATATAGGCCGCTCAGTATTCCAGGTTGGTTACTTTCCTCTGTTGTTTAATTAAAGAAGGTGGCTCAGTATGTCGGATATTTGTTGATGAATTTGAAGTGCACCTCTTGTGATCTTTCCTGATTATTCCAGTGGATTCAGATGTAAATCGATATGGATTATCATGGAAAGATCAATACCAGGAGGTTGGACCAAGATAAAATAGTTTTGCATGAATCTATAGATGTTATTCTTGTAAAAAAAAATTTGTTTCTCTTTTACACAAAACTTATATTTTCGATAATGTATATTTTTTGTAGGTTGATAGTTTAAAACAAGTATATAATATATTTACATCATCACCTGTGGATCCTGGTGTGAAAAAATCAGCAGCAGATCAACTAGCTATAATGTTACAAGGTACTGATATCTTTTCTCTGAGTTAATATTTGCCTATATAGAATTGGATCCATAATACTACAGGACAACAATAAGACATGGAAATATACAGAAGTTCTTATCGCACTATTTGTGGAATTTACAAAAAATATGATTTTCTTTTGTTCTACAGATTCAAATTTACACAGAGCATTTAAAGAAGTTGGTGGTTTAGAAGTTGTGTTAGATATTTTAACAAAAAGTGTCCAGAAAAACACAGATTCTGAGGTAAGATGGAATGGACACGCAAGATATTTTTTCTTGAAAACTACTATATGAGTCGTTGTCAAATCATTAACTTTGAAGTGACCATACCCTGTGGGGGAGCCAGGTTTACGTCCGAGAGGGGGCGAAATATCTTTGATTGCCCGAATTTCTAACTCAGTTATGAGATTTGGCCCCAAAAACTTGCTTTCAGGACTGCGAGGCGGGGTCTCCCCCCCCTCCTTGGCTCCAATCACAATGTTTGTCAGAAAAGGGTACTTAAATATAAAAAGAATAGACTAATGGCGCTGAAAACCTTCCAAGCTCAATAAAGATTTCAATCAATTTAATGTGAACTGTATTTTTCAGCCTGTATTACCTAACTATCTACCAGCTTGTATTACTATGTTACGATTACTACTTCACCATGACTACACGCTACATCATAACCTGTCACATGACCATCAAATATACTATACGTTGATCAGAGGTATGTATTAACTAGACTTGTTATAATAAACCCAGTTCGATTCATTGAACAAGACACTTGCTGCATCGTTTCAAATGAATTTTTCAAGTTTTTCAACCCTGTTTCCTCTTTCGGTAATTATTAAAGCTAATTTTTTTAATTCTACTTTTATTTCAGCTGCTCTCCTGTATATGAAGGATGAAAAGACACATTATGACGTCTGCCATATTCTAACGTTGTTACTGTTCGATGAAATTTCTAAATTTGATGTCAGTAATTCTAAATCAGCGTTTACACTGCCAACTGTCTTGACTAAAAGGTTTGTTGTAAGAATAAAATCCATACAAGCATAACAATTCCAGTAACCAAAAATCTAATCCAAAGCAATGATTGTATGGTAGTTGACTCCTCAAACGAGAAGTACCATCAGGTTTTTTGAAAAGAGTAAGCCTGATATACTAGTCTCGTTAACTCACTGAGCACTATATTCACAGTTATACTGTATGCAGGGTATTTGAAAATAAACCAAACAATAACTATGACAGAGATTCATTGAATTTTGCATATGGGTTTTGATTTTTAAGATAATTTATAGTAGATGTAGAGGTGACAATAACATTATTAGGATTTATTTATTGTAATATAAAAATTTTATAGATTCAAACTTCCATTTAAACCAACTTGTCATCATGAAACCAGCCCCAATAGAGTAACCTTGACCTTTGACCCGGACCCTCTGACTACTGGTGTTGCCATGGAGAAGTTGAAAATATCGTGGAATATAGCATGGAATGATGGGATTGATAAATTGTTGGATTTGATGAAAATGGATAAGAAGAATGGTGAAACTGAGCCAGAGTAGGTTTTCTACCTTTTTGGAGGACTGGGAATTAAGATCTGGATTAACTGAACGACGATAGACAGCTCAACAGATTTTCGCACGTCAACTGAGATTAGATCCAACAATCACCATTATTTGTTTCGTATAACACGCTCCTTGGATGTATCAAGTAATGTAAAATGTAGAAACTTTACGCTTTTATGACTGCTCTACTGACAGAAAAGAATGTTCGACTTCGTAACATACCAAATAAAAATATACTTCTCTTAAAAGTATATCAAAATATTGCAAAATTTCCCTCAGTGCACATTGCATTGGCACCTTAATTCATCGTTTTCAATTTTTCCAGGTTTTCAGCAGCATTAAAGCTGACAACTCTAGACAAATGTCTGATTAGGACAACACATCTGGAGTCTGGTTTAAAATCCGGAGTTTACGATATTTCTAACGCCACGTCTCACCGAGCCGTTATTGAGAGTCTCAGCAATCTATTGGTTAACGTCACTATGGGTCAAGGGTCACAGGCTGTGTACAAATTACATCAATTTGATTGGTGGACACCTTTAACAAGGTTGGTTTTATTTATATTCGTATTTTACGCCCAGTCTCTTTCGTGATCTTATGTTCTCGGCACCCCTGTCTGCTTAAACTCTTTGTTTTACTGACTGGAAATAAATTTATACAACGATACCAAGAATAAAAAGGCCACATCCTTTGAATATTTCGTATTTCTTTGAGATAAAAAATAAAACTTCATTATGTATATCTTTCCTGTTGTAAGTTTTAACTCATATTTAAATACTAAGTTATTTGAATATTGATGAGGGGGTCAAATTAAAAAAAAAAGTTGCAGCCCCCAAGGAGGATCGAACTCCTGACCCCTGGTTTACAAGACCAGTGCTCTAGCCACTGAGCTATGGAGGCTGTAGGAAAGAAGAAATATTTTGTATATTATAAGAAAGTGACAGATGTTGTCATAGTTATTGATTGATAGACATTGAAATGTCATTGTGTTGATACATTTCATTATTATTATATATTCCCTCAGGCCACTCTATGAAATTTTTTTGAGTTACTTTCTATCTTAAGGGCTATTGATTTGCCTGCTATGTCTGATTGGAGTCCAAAAATGCTTGATTGTATCTTTGGCCGCTAGGTTATTAATAAATATTCCCTTAGGCTACTTTCAAGGAAATTTATTTGATAATTTTCATCTTAAGGGCTATAGATGGAGCTCTATTCGCCAGTTACGTCTGATTGGAGCTTCATAATGCTTGGTTAAAAATTTTGTGAGATTTAATGTGCACAATCTGTAGTACCAAAGGAGGAGAGTAATGATCTCATACAAATGATTAAAGTGTTAAAGAGATTGCAAAGAGATTTTCTTAACTGTATATTTGTATCGGGGACACTGATAGTATCAATTTGCACCATTGTAATTTTTTAGTCAGATGTCTGTGGACTGTGGTTCCTGCTATTCCACTAAAAAATCATCAAGCTAAAATCAAATTGATGCTATGAGTGTCCCTGATACACATAAATATTTCAGAAAGACATCTTTACAATCTCTTAAAGGTTTTATTATGTCAACCTATCAAACTTTATCACTGATAGGGGAAAGCAGATTCACAAATCTGAAAATATTTTCTTGATAAATCTAAAATACATGAGCATTTCTAATCAATATCATTGTTGTAGATCAACTTGTTTCTACACTTGTAAATATCCTATTAATCAATCACAGGACCACAGATGTTGTTCTTCTTGATAAAACATAAAACGTACTCTTCATCATCCAGCCTCCATAGCTCAGTGGCTAGAGCACTGGTCTTGTAAACCAGGGGTCAGGAGTTCGATCCTCCTTGGGGGCTGCAACTTTTTTTTTTTTTTGAAATTGATCCCCTCATCATAGTCAAATTGACTAAGTGTACGAATGTAAGGTAAAATAGACAACTGAGTAAGAAGTTATAAATGAAATCAGATTTTTAATCAAGGGATTGATGGGTTTCTCTAACTCTTCTGCAAGCAACCCCTTCCTTAAAGACAAAATAATTTTTTTGTATGCACAATACCATTGCACACTTGCTCCAGAAGAGCTCTGAGCTGATCAACCAGATCAAGGGTGTCTTAAAGAAAAGTTCATCTTTGTTCACAATACCATATAGGGCATATAGTGGCCACATTAACAAAATAGTCAAATGTATCCATTTCAATTCAGCTCTGACAAAAATCTTTCACTTTACTCTTGGTGATTGGAACCTTGCACAATATTTGACAAAATTCAAGTTACGGCTCTTTGTAAGGTTTGATAATTCAATCCTTCTTATTTTTCCAGATTTTTAGAAGTGACTCCATCTTCAGTACCTGATGAAGAATTATTGTTGAAGATTTTGGGATTTATTACACATTTAATGAAACTGACCAATCAGGTTCCAGATAACATATTAACATGGCTTGGTGAACGATTGTATCAAGCTACAGGTCCTCTGATTGGTTTATTAAATAGGTCACCAGGAAATGAACCATCGGATACAGAAGATGATTTAGCTGTTTTGAGAAGGTAAAGTTCACGATTCACAACAGATTGGGATCAATTATATTAACAAAAAAATTAATGAAAGTATCCAATATGGTCAAAAAATTGAAAAAAAAAGAATATAGATATCGGTTAGTGGCGGTAAACGAAAATTCGCCATACATTTTTGGGAACTTTTGGTGATCTTTGTTAATATAGAGCTGTATTTGCTTAAGGAAAGCAAGAGTTATTGCCCTTGCTATAATATATTTATCTATTACAGGTTGTTAGATAAGACATTACTGAGATTTATTTCTATTTTTAACTCTAAGTTACCATACCAACTTACTAGAAGGTAAATATTGTCATCAACTCTTCAAATTTCAACTCTTGGCAAGGCAAGAATTAAGGTATTCAGGGCAACTCTCCATGATAATATTTGCACCAAAAGCCTAGAGATATCCTGCTGTAAAACATGTAACTGGTAATTTCCTGAAAAGTTCAGCAGATTTAAATGTCACTTATCTGATTGGTCAATTACATAAACTGATTTTGTATTTATTTTTTTAAGCCAATCAGATTACTGTACCAGTATTCCTGAAATCTAGGTTGCATCTTGATAATCTTTTATGTCATTGACTTTTTTTTAGATTCAGTATGCATCAAATGAGAGGAGATATTGTCCGTGAATTATTTCTACGTTTAAACGTAACTGATGCCCCACATTTCTACAACCTGGCTTCTCTAGAAGGAACTTTAACATCTCTGATGCACATCACCTCCAGGTAATTTGATAACATTATTTTAGAATTTAGAATTTATCTTTAAGGTTTCCCACTTTTAGTAAAACTCGCAATTAGGTGCGCAATTTTCATTTTTGGCTAATAAATTGAAATTATCTGGCAATTGAAATGGCCTACTTCACAGAAATATTGTGATAGATTTTGGTTTGTCAAGAACATGGCAGCTTCCAGATACGTTAACATACGTGTACATTTCACTATGTTTTTCTGTTTCCAGACCTGGTTGGAGTGAAGAGTGTTCTAGCTTAGATGGTCCTGGTTTATCATCTAGATTACTTAATTCATTATTAGAGGTACGTTCTGCAGTCTGATGATTTGACTCTATTTCCTGGACATGACCTGCAGGACAGCTCAAATGAGAATCAAAAGCCTCTGTTCGACACCAAGTATTTGGTTTGTCACCACGCGTCAGTCATAGAAAGATACATTCAAATATATTGACATGGTTTTTCCTTTCTGCTAGTTTGAATATTATATTCTTCATATTCTTCAGCCAAATATTGTCACAACCTTCTTTGTCTATTTATGTAGACATGATTGTCTTAACATTTACTCAAAGAAAATTGAAGTTTTGGATAAAACCACTGATGTTTTTAATAATGAATATGCTGCAGTGTAGTTGTACACTTTATGATAATGATCAATACTCTTTGGTGGTGCCTAAATTTGTTTAATATTGTCTTGTAGGTTGTTTCAGCATTTCATATTGGACGAGGAGGGACATTAATGTCCTATATGGGGAAGGGAGTAACTAAATCAGCTACACTGTGTTTACGTCATCTAGCTTATGAGATGCCTATAGTTACTCATACTAATGTAAGTGTTGGACATTTTAATGCATTTAAAAAAAGTTTGCCAGCTTATATATGTGTATCAGGGATGTTCAGTGCTCATAAAAAACATCATAGTGTATTTGAAGTAAATTCTAGGGTATATATGTTAACAAGAATCTTATAAAATCAAAACATTAATACAGATTGAAGGGACTGACAACACTGTATGAGAGACTGCACTAATTATTGCCTATTGCTTTTTTATTCAAAGTCCAAAATCTCTTTTCTGTTGGATTACTGTGCTGGTTATAACTTTCAGGATTGGCAGAAGAATTGGTTATATTCCAGGCAAGGTGCTGATGCTGTGGGGGAACCAGGTTTAAATTGGATGTTAACATTATGGGCATACAGAGATCCAGAGGTAAATTATATTTCAGTCTAAATTTAACTTGTCCTGTCGATACCCTGGTCTATGTCTTTCTCTGTCTTTATAAGGTGTATATTGATAAACCTGGTAATAAAGTTACTGTAAATGACTCTGACAAACAAAGAAACACTAAGTAAACCACTGACTGACTGCTTAACAATTCTTTTGAATAGCATATTATTTTATATTAAAAGATAGTTAGTGGAGCTGAAATAATTTATATAAAATCTATGTAATTGTAGGTACGAGCAGCCGGGTTAGGTATAGCAATGGCGTTAACCTCGACTGAAGCAGGAAGAATCATGATGACTAATAACTGTAAACATATACCAGGTGGTATCTGGGGTGCTGTGTTTACAATACTACTCAATCATAGTGAATGTAGTATAGTCCGACAACAGGTTAGTGCAGTTGGGCTATTTTATTTATTTTTATTTGACAGATAGAGCAGAGCTGTTTAGATAAAGTGATTTTCTTACACTGTCTCAAGAAATATGAGTGCTGGAATTGCTGATTAATTAACCGAATTTTGGGAATTTTTCGCGGAATATTCTTGTGAGATTATAGTTAGATTTTATAGGTCTTGTCTGAATTGCAAAAATTAAAAAACCAACCAAACTTTGTGTATAAAATATTTTGATTTAAGGCAGCTCAAGTGTTGGTAAATCTAACATCTCAGACTATGCCTAGTGGAAATATTGAATCTAAATCTACTAGTAGTAATAAATGGCAGGGACCAGTTGTAACGGATGAGGAATTCCAGGTAAGATTTGAAGTATATTATGTTATTCCAGTCTACAATGCTGTAAATGGGTATGAAGAAAGATTGTTGTCAGTTGAGTCAGCTAAGGTCTTCTTAAGTTCCTATCATTATATCTTTAAGAGGGGAGAGGTATATATTTAACAGTAAAAAGATTGATTGCCACACAAATCCAGTACCCAATGATATATATATAATGTTTTTATAGTAAAAGATTTACTACAAACATCATATTTAATATATTACAGTTGACTCTAGTTGGTTTACCTGCATTATTAGCCTTATTACATCATAGTAACTTTTACCAACAAATGGTAGTCTTACTGTCTAATTTCTACCCTTACGCTTCCGTTCAAACTGTCAACGTTGAAATGGAGACTAATTTAAAACAGAATATAGATACAGATCATGTTTCAACATCAGGTAATAATTATTACACTTATTAGAAATAGACTGTAGACTAGACTACAAAATTTCAGAATAAAACCAAGAAAATGGACTACAGTGGTGAAGACTGAATAACCAACAAACTTGACAGACCCCAGTTTGAAATAGAGTAAGACTAATTAGTGCTCAAGAAAGGTTTGATATAAGTTCAGTTTATTTGAAATGAGGTTTATGTTATCACCTAATTTTTGTTTGATTGTGTATTTTGTAGGAGATAGTACCAGTGCTTCCATTCCAACCTTCTCCTTCGCTACATCACAACATTTTACTAATGTAAGTACTGTATAATTGCCAAGATAACGCTCACCTTTTTTTATTCTCTTGTAAATCTGGAAATATCTTATCAATATACATAGGTCCTTACACGGTATATCAAAATATGAACAGATTGTTTGGTTTGTTTTGAACTTATTTAAGATCAGAGTTTTATATTTGTTGGAATTTTCAGGTTAGTGACATTTTTAGATTCCCATGTATATAGTTGATACTTTTGAGCAAAATATTTCTTTTGATGTCACTTTCAATTGCAATATGTATCTAATAGACATTGTTTATATCTTTCAAGCGTTCCCAGCGATTATCATTCGGAACTGTTACACCAGAATCTACCAAATCATATGGTAAGTGTTTCTCAATGTCTTTATTTCTCGTACATCAAGCTAGTGCAGTGCCAATAACAAGACTCATGACAGTTAAAATGGATTTATATGCCAGTTGAAAATAGCCCATCTTATGCATTCTACATGTCTTGAATATGAAAACCATCATGAGGATTTGTAAATTGGTATGAACAGTCCAATATTTGAACTTTGAACTAACTGATTGTCTAGACAGGTCTGTTTCATTATCCATGGGACATTAGCCCAATCAGCAGCAAAAACTTAAACTCCTTACAATCCCAATTCTATTAAAGGTGCCAGTGAAACTACAGCAACGACCTTGACCCCAGAGTCAGGTGATTTTACAGAAGAACACAGTGTAGTGACGCCATGTTTAGTTTCCGCGGTTACCAGACTATTACGTAATTTAGTTATATTAGCTCCTCAAGACACCTTTACATCTTTAAAAAGAGACTCGTTTATACAGATATTCCTCAGGTATAATAAAGATTATCTTAAAAACCTTGGGTTCAGAAACAATGGATCCTGCAGGTACTTTTGGATTTTTAAAACAGCTGATATGGAATAAGCATGCAGTCTTTTAGGCCCCATTGTCCATTTTAAAAAATACTTCCGGGGCTGTCATGGCAATATTTCTTTCACTGCATACATAGCATTGCCCCGTCTTCAGTTATTTAGCGATGTGAGATGTCAAACTGGACAGTTAAAATCTAATTCTCCTCATTTTGGAATTAATAACTGTATTAGAAGCTAAAGTACACATTGTATAGCTTCGTCTTGGCTTCCATGTACTACACTGTGTATGTGTACAATAAAAATCCTGAGAAATATAGATTGATGACATCTTTCTTATATTTACAGTATGATGGATATTTCTATAGTCCAGTCACTTTGTAAGGATCTTCAGTCTGGATTATCCAGTAACCAGACTCAGTTGGTGTTAAGAGACTGTATACATATGTATGATGGTAGGCTACTTTTACTTTATCAATCTTGGACATTATATTTGCTACCAGCATTTATCACAGGCAGTTATTGAGAGGCCATGTGGACAATTTGGAATAATACTGTTTTATAGCATCAGCTGCAGACCTTTGTTAACCGTGTGAACGATTCTCGACTAATTATGACTTCCAGTTTTCCCATGTTCCTCTTCATAATGTCAAGCTATTACGAACTTCATCCCTGACATTGTGAAGATGGCCCATTGTGGGTGAGAATGTACCAGAGGCATTTAAATGTACCAAAAGGGTACAAAGAGTGCGGAACCTGTCTGCGTATTCTTGATATGACCTGGGATGTCTTAAAGAGCCTAAAAAGTTGGGAACCTGGCCGCGTTTCTCAAGTGCTAAGGTGTCTTAAATTCTTAACTTTTCACATTGTTTCTAGGATATCCCAAATTTAAGATGGTTTCGAGAATACATGGCTGGGATCTTAACTATTAGTTATTTTTATAGTATATCCGTGCATGTCTATAATTTAATAATGTTTAATTATAGGTATAGTGGAACTGTTTAGAGTTTGTGTAGTTTATGATACTCCAATACGTAATGATATAATAAACAATCTGGACTCACTACAGGCTATATCATCTTTATTAGTACTGGAATGTGAAGGTACGTTATACTTATTTCTGTCATAGCATTGCCCTTTGGATAACAAAAAGTCATCTCAGAAGCAATGTACACAGTAATCAATGTACACAGTAAGCAATGTACACAGTAATCAATGTACACAGTAATCAATGTACACAGTAATCAATGTACACAGTAATCAATGTACACAGTAAGCAATGTACACAGTAAGCAATGTACACAGTAATCAATGTACACAGTAATCAATGTACACAGTAATCAATGCACACAGTAAGCAATGTACACAGTAAGCAATGTACACAGTAAGCAATGTACACAGTAATCAATGTACACAGTAATCAATGTACACAGTAATCAATGTACACAGTAATCAATGCAAGGGCATCTTTTCTTATGATCAGAGAGATCATAAATGGAACAAATTTTCAGCTAGAGTCGACAAAATGTTAGAAACTTATCTACTAATGGCCTTGGAAATTGTCAGATGCCAAGATATTGGTGTTTCAAACTCAGTCAAAGAGTGGCTTCGCTTCTGATGCAACAATGAAAATTGTCACCAAAACCTTGACATAAATTTGGTTTGTTTATAAAAGTGAAATTTTTATTTCAGGAAACACTGATATATTCTCATGTTGTAGTAAATTATGGAGAACTATATTTTTATTTTTTACCTCGTTACTACAAGTTCAAGGTTCCACAACCCTTCATTCCTTAACGTCAGTTTTCACTGAACTCTGGCCAGCTATAACAGGTGAGTGAGTGCAACATATCTATAGGCTTGGTGGGATGGCGTAGTTCCATAGCCTGGTGATTCTAGTTGAAGTTTGACAGAAATGTTTTGTCAGAAAAGGTTCTGGCATTCTTAGCGACGTTACTTTTTGATCCTTCAATGTTGGCTCTTGATATTTGTAGCTATTAGAATTTTTATTTTTCTGTATTTTCTAGACACGTGTGTGAATATAACACGAGTGTATGTAGATGAAACTAAAGATCTATATATCTCATGTTTAACGTTCCTAGCCGTGTTATTTAACGAGGAGGCGAAACGTTATTATCGATCAGCTGATTCAGACCAGATAACTCTGGTTGAACTTCTCAGTCAAAATACCATGTCACGTAAGTTCTTTTCAATTTTTTTTATCATTTTTCACTCCTTGAACGTACTACGTGCTCTACTGCTCAAATAATTAAATGATATATCGCTGAGAAGCGTTTGAAAAAACCATAACCATGTAACGTCACATAACTTTAATATATCTGAGAAAATGGCGTAGCTTAAGATTTCATACAATTATGCATCAAAATTTTCTTTTTTTTTTAGGTAAACAAGGAAAAGAGACAAGTCTGTGTTCAACAGGATCACGATTAACAAAGGTTTTGATTGGTTTATATGAGAATAATTGTACTAAACCTAAAGATATTAACCAATCAGCAGAGAGGGTACTTATTGTCAATGTTTTAAAGTCATTATTAGCTATCTCACTCTCGGCTAAAGAAACAGCTTTAGAAAGTAAGTCCTGGTATATTTTGTACTTTAGTTTAACATAATTCTTATATAATTTAGACATGGTACCTAGTCTACGTGGCTTAACTCTCTGTCATTTATCAATGAAATTTGAATATTTATTTGTAGATGGGTTGGCAGAGAATTTACTAGAGAATATAAAACAGACTCATTCTAAATTAAACCTAGAATCAGTTACCCCTGCTAAAAATTTAACCAAGAAAAAAGAAGATCCATTGTTACAAGAGATCATCTTGACTTTTGATCTGTTGAGAAATTTTATGTGCCAGAATTCAGGAGTGAAGGTAAGGATACAGGTTTAGTTTTCTGGGGTAGGAGGGTTTGATTTTCCCAAATATACAGGTCTAGGATTGAACAAATACTTCATTAAGAAAATAAAGCAAGTAGTCTTCATCATCTTGGTATTTTTCTTCTGTTTCTAATTTTTCTGTAATTCAAAAATAATAACTCCTCGGCTAGGTGAGAGGTTAGTTTGTTATATACAGTTGACTTTTAAGAACCAGGATGCCATTTCTGAATATGCGTGCGACACTCATTTTTTGCTTACAAACATGGAAAAATTCAATGTATATTTGGACTTGTTAGATTTTATTTTGATATTTCTTTTGTTTAAATTCTGATTTCAGACTGCGTGTTACCATAGTGATTTGAGTTGTATTTGTCATAAGTTATGGAGTTGGTGTCTGATCGACCCACATCTGATGTCGGCCATGTTGAATTTATTAACTACATACACTGCTCAATGTTCAACAGGTAGCGAGAACTTCGTATATTTCTGATCAAAACTTGAAAGTCATTTGTGAGATACAGCAGAGAGAAATTTATCCCAGCCGTCTTAGCCCTTACAATAATCTTCCACGCTGTTTCCACTTCTTAATGATTGTTAGAGGGCTGACATGGGAGAAGGGTATAGTTGGGATAATAAACAGTGTGCTATGAGATTAATGATAATGTCTTTGTACTGCCAATAATCCCTTCATTTCACAAGCATGGCGTTGTACGTTTTTATTAGACTGATCAATTTCAGAATGAGAATGTAAATACTCCATTTTATTTCTGTTTCAGCTACTAGTTCCCTAGCGTATACCAGTCCTACAAGTCTGACACCAGCAGTTCCAGGCAAATCTCAACTCAGCTCCAACTCACTAGTTCATTGTGTAATAAAACTGGGTAGTAAGGAGTTGGAGAAAGAATCGTCAGCCGTCTTGAAATCTATTTTTAGTTTATTATGTAACATTGTCATGTCTCCTGAGGGTAGAAACATACTGTGGAAGGTTGGTAAAGGGGATTGTATTGAGATTTTTAAAGAAAATATTTGGTTTCCTCTGTCAGTGATGCAGGTCGGAGGGGCTGACATGGAAAAGCTTCATTCATTTCATTTCAGATGGGACAATAAACTGAGGCCCCATGTGCTACAAGCTGTGCATGTTAAAGATCTCTCAACAGTTGGAAATATAAGAACAGCAGGCTAATGCTAAAAAGATTCTTATTGCACCCTACATGGCATTATCCTAACTCATTGGCCCAAACTGATGCATACAAGTCCAAAAACTCCTTTTTATTTTGCATTTTTTAATTCGGAAAGATCTTGGGTTTATTGACGATTAATATCAATATTTTTTTATATTCCAGTGTAATATATTAAGTGAGTTCACACAGTTAAATCCTAAGAAAAGTAAGAAATCTGGATCACGAGGTAAACAGAAAGAGACTGTAGATGTACTGTGGTTAGAGTTATTAATTAATTTATCATTTACTACTGATGGCCAGCAGATTATCTTTAAAGTTCACGGTAAGAAGCAGTATATATTTTATTTATTCAATATCACAATCAGGTACAGAAAGATACGATGTACAACACTATTTCATTGCATTGTTATAATATTTTAAGTGTTTCAGTGAAAAGGTGAGTTGGATTAATGTGCTCTTGTCTGATATTGAACACTGCCTGGCGTTCCCCATTTTTAATTACCCAATACGGAGCAAAAAAAGTAGGAAGTAACAAGATATTTTGACATCCATGCGTTCACATTTTCATATGAAATACAGATTAAGATGATATATATTAATATTATATTTTGTAGGAGCTGTAGACCTGTTGTTAGATTTTGTAGAATTTGGCAGCCAGAAGACGTCAGAACAAGCCTTGTTAATTCTGCGTAATCTATCTTGTCATACGTCAAATAAACCCAAATTATTGGCCAATGGTGAGATCATTACTAAATTATAGATTACAATCCTGGCTAGAGTTGAGGAAATACCATTCTTATCAATCTTATGATTTATCAATCATCTTTTGTATATATAATATTATTAATTGTTATTCTAGAGAAGTTAATACCTTATATATTAAAAGTGGTAGAAACAGGCTGTGAAAGAAGTAAAACAATCGGGGCCTCAGCGTTATGGGCTCTTATTTATAATAATCAGAAGGTAGGGTGGATATTTTAAACAACTTGATTGGTTACTGAAACATTAGGTCTATACACCATTGTATCATGAACTAAATGGTACCATTAAAATACCATATCTTTACTTTCAACCAATCATGAAAAAGGATTCAGTAAGATCAAAAACAAGAGTACAAATTCAGCTATCCTTTATTGATTAATCTTCTTCCAGGCAGTCTAGGTCAGGCAAGTTAATCTGACTTGAAGGGAAGTAACTCTTGTAAAGAAGGGACTAATCCAGACCACAATAAGACAGACTACACCGAATCTACTATTTTTTGTTAGCATGTTTGACTCTTTGCTATCCCTTGTAGAGAGTTCACTAGCTAATATTGTGTATTTGGTTTCTATTTATTTTAGGCTAGAGTATTGATGAAGAACGCCAATATTTTACCAAAGTTAAAAGAATCGTTATATACCAGTAGTACAATCACCAACAAAACTTCAGAAAGTGAAAAATGGTCTCAAGAACTTAAAAATATCATCAATTGTTTAATAGAATGAAGTCACATTTTCTGGGAACTTTCAATTCAATTAAAATATGGACCCATTGACTGCAGTATTATGACAATTTATACAGGATTTTCACCAACTCTTATGAGGCTTTTTGGATATAACAATTGATAAGGCGGTCCTTGGTGTGTTAATGCATTCGGTTTACTTACACATATGCAGTGTAAGTGGCAATTTCCTTTTATTTCATCATTTCATTAATGACTTTATTCCTTTCTTTTTGTTATTGAATTTTGAAACATGTAAAAATGTATATTATTTATATTCATAGTGTTTGTAATTTTCAATTATGTTTTGTATTTAATGACATATTGTATTTCTCCTAAAGAGGTCGGTGCACACAGCATTCATTAACACAATCGAATGTCGACGTAGGACGTCTAAGCTTTTCCAGACCAGTATGAGAGTTAATCCATACCAACGAACTGACCGGTATCCTCGAACTACCCTTGGTGTAATATGACGGAAGATTCAGTGAATGCATTGTGGTCAGGAAAGGAATGGTTAAAATGGAGTTGCCTCCCATATATCATATTGAAGAGTGAGTGTGAGTGGATTTATCTACCAACTAAAGAACTTCTTGACACTGTTTTATTGTGAACTATCTAAAATGGTGAGAAAAATATCACGAGGAATATCATCGCTGTCATTACAGAGAACGCTCGCCCTTCTGGAACACCAAATGTCATTCATTCAGTCAACCCAGTGTAACTTGTAGGCCTACAAATTCTTTTCGATCTCCACTGGCGATGGATTTTTAACATGAACCAATTAATTCTACTTGTATCACAGGAGCTGCTTTACTGTATGAAACTCGACCTCTTCCAGCATCGGACACCGAACCCTCATGTTGGCTAGTCAGTTTGTTACTGAGCCACAGACACCCCCGAGACTTAGCTTAAAATAACTGGTGAAGCGCTCATCTAAGAGAACTTTTCGAGGATATTATATAAACTAGGCGTAGTTCAAACGTGTATAGAAAACGGTCAACATGATTACTTATTGATTGTACATTGTCATTAATCTGGTGGTTGGACTCTGACCGCCACGGACAGTGAAAGCCAGTGACCAGTAGTCTCCAACAATAAGACCCTCTAATTTATTATACGTCTTACATTGTGACAATGGAGACTACGATTGGTCAGCGACCTATCGATATATATATATATCATAAATGTACTATAATTTACATAACGAAACAAGCGTAGGAGAGGATTACTGTATGATAAGGCATCTTTTGATCTACATTTAGTTAACGCAACAAAAATAATCTTGATAAGTATCGAATTTGAAAAGATTGACCAAAGACAAAATTATGCGATAAGATAATAGGCCCTATCTCTTTTGGATTTGATATAAACTAATTTCAGTCGTTGTAGCGAACTGATCTATGTCGAAGTTGGCTCGTGAAGGCGATATCGTAGACCTTGAAGCATAAAGATGCAGAAAAAAAGTTATCTAACAAATTTCGCGTGGGCTTGCAGATTTGATTAAGAATGTCTTTTCTTGTTCACAAACTTTTCCGGCTTCTTAAACGCCTACTGACAGGTTCGAGTCCTTGACCAGCATTTCCCGGTATAACCACGTTAATGACGTAACAAGATTATACTACACTCACCGACTACAGCCCCCACAAAATTAATCCAGCTGTGAAGATTAGTCTAAATAGCCGAAATAAACGATAAGCTTTAGTAGTAGGCGAGATAAGACGTCAATAAAGAGGCGAGACAATACGAAAGTATGGTTGAACTTTGAATATGGTCAGAACGGACACGAGGAGTGGTATGCAATGGAGAGTCCGACCCTCTGATTTCACCCATCTCACCCCACCACTCATATTTTTGGGACCCATAACATGAAAGACGGAATTTTTTTTTTCAACCCCAGTTAGATGTACGAAACATCCGAAAGACACAGACCTTCAAAATTATGATAGTGTCCTGTGGCCAACATGGTTCACAGGGCTCACATATATACTTTTGGCATAACAGTGCATTTAAATTCAATGCCATACAAACAGTGGCGGAGCCAGGTTTACGTCCGAATCTCTAACCTAACCACTGCATACAAGGAAGCACGTGATTTGTGGGGAACGGGGCAAATTACAACGAAGGGATGCATAAAAAATTGAACTTTTAACTTGAAAACAATTGATACATATATTGATATATTAACATCATTTCATTATCAGATAAACAAACTAGAATCCATAATTAATTATTAACATAAACAAAACCATAGAACATGAATATTCATTAATCTTTGAATAAATTAAAGTGATATTGCCATCTGATTTTAGCTATATTGACTTTATTTCACCTATCTGTATAATCATCTAAATGATTGCTTTATCAGCTAAATGATTGCTTTATCAGCTGATAGAGTTTTTATTTTGAAAGTCTGTGTCGCTTTTCAGTATTACAATCTGGCGTCTGGTTCTTCTGCAATTTCTTGAATAGCTTGATAATATTGGTTCAATAATACATAGCTGTAACAGGCTTTATTCCTTTAAAGGTCCGAAGTTCGCAGCAAAATCTCAGAGCATCAAAAGAATCCATGGACCTGATTATTATGCCTCATTTGAAAGCACTTTATTTTTTTCTTTTCTTGAGGGTTGATTTTTTAACAGACACCTGCAATAACAAATTACTAGCTATAAATATAAGACACAGTTTTAAGGGTAAGCGTGGAATGTGCGACGACATTCTGGTTTTTACCAGTCGTTGAAATTTCAGGTCGTATGAAGAAAAAGATCCTT